CAAGAACTGTACCAAAGAATGAGTTATTTTACCGTGACATTGATCAAAGACAGTAAGTCAGTTGTGTGTTTCTGTCTGTCACTCTCACAGGGTGTGATTTCCCTTGAGCATCTTGGAAAGAAAGGATACAGCATACCCAAAGCAGGGACCATTCAAGTGGTAAATTGTTTTTTGTCTTGTTTCTTTCATGTCATTCCTTGTCTGTGAATCTTTCAGAGATATGTCATTGTGCCACCACAATACTATAAGGGGGCATTTGCATTATTGACACTAAGAGCAGTTATAGTCTAACTTCTAGTATACTTCAAATAAAACCACTGCAAGCTGTCTTATTTTTGCTATATGTAATACTTACTTTAGTCCAACATCTTTTTCAGACCTTATTTAATCCCAACAAAACTGTGGTGAAGATGTTCCTGGTGACCTACAACTTTAGTGACATGCCAGTTAATCACATGACCTTCCTGCGCCACCGTATCTTCTTGGTGCCCGTAGAGGAGGGGGCTGAAGGGAAGGGCGAGGCGCCTTCAGGGAGCGCAGTGGTAGAAAGGAGGAAGATTCTCTGCTACCTGATACATCTCAGGTAAATCAGGTTTCACTTTTTTACTTAAGCAGCCTGTTTTGTGATTGTCTGAAAAACATCACAGGATCACAATGTATTTCTAATAGTTTGACAGTGTTACGCAACTGTAAGCAAATGTTTCCTTAATTACTAGCAACGTTTTTTGTCCACTGTTAGTACATTTTAAGGTTTAATATTTGGGAAAGGTGTTGTGCTAACGCATTTGTTTTGGTTATTTTCTTTCTCAGATTCCAGAGCTCCAAATCTGGGAAGATCTACTTGCACAATGATATCCGGCTGCTATTCTCCCGCAAATCCATCGAAGTAGACACAGGGATCCCTTATGAGCTGAAATCTTTCACCGAGGTGCCAAGAAACCCTAAATACTCCCCCCGCGTGTGATCCGAGCTTCACCTTTTCACCCTCCCCAACGCCAATGCAGTCCCTCCTGTGCTTCCTAACGAGGAGGGAGGGAAAAGACAGACTGCTAGAATGATGGACGCAAAACTTGATAAGACTTGATGAGACACACCACATGCACACAAGACACACATGCACACATAATACAGTGTGGTGATATCAAAAATCCCCCTTTATGCATTTATTCTCCATTGAAATGTAGACAGTCAAAAGACATTAGCGATAAAAATGTCACTAAAGCAAACATAGCATTCCTTGTATCTTCCATTAGTTGAAAGTATGAAAAAAAATACAAATATTGGTGTTAAAGCAGTCAAGCATGCATGCAGTCAAAATCAGGACGTTTCCGAAAACCTTCATCTGTATGAGAAAAAAAGAAATGCACAAAATACTGACACACACACACACACACACCAAAAGAGACTGATAAGACTCACACACAGCACATACTTTGCACGTCACAGCTGAAACACTTCTTGTGGTGACTCTCTGAGTTTAGTGTTAACATGCATGCCTTGTGACTTAAACACCTGAATTTTCCTCTAGTGCCGTATCACACTGTCCTTCACTCTGCCTGCAGCTCCAAGAGATTTGTCAAGAGGCCACAAACAATAAGCACATCCCTGGTAGGGTGAAGAAAATAACGACCCCCTCCCCCACTTTTCACACACACTTTCTGACCGGCAGAGAGGAGATGAGCAGAGACACAAACACTAGTGAAAGAAAAATGGAATCGGCCATCCAACAAAAACAAAAACATGATTTGACCAAACTCAGGACACATGTTGAAGAATCAAATTCTCCTCTTCACATTTACAAATGATGGTACAGACTCTAAGCCAGCATCATGGGTCATACCATGTCGTAAAAAAACAGGGGAATCCAGTTCAACTTATGTAGCCAGACTGAGGGACACTGTGTTGTTTTCTTTCTTTCTTTTTAGAATCTGTTCAGAGCAGTCTGATGTTGGAGCAGAACATGGATAAAAAAACAACAAGCTGTAGTATTTTTAATTTATGTTTTCGCAAATGTCTTAATAAGCAATATGCTGCACAAAGTAGAGTGTGTTTTTAAGCCGGACGAGCTTTCTCTCTGGTACGGGGGGGAACAGAGACAGCGGAGGATTGAGTGTGAGGGAGGAAATGGGAGGAGGGAGGGATGACAGGGAGGGGGGGGGGGGTATTTAATACGGGGAAAAAGTCTATGTATATTTAAAAGAATAAACTCTGCGACTGGCGAGTGAACGACCTGTCTTTGTTGTGGTTTTTCAATCCTACATTTTACCTACACCTCCCATAATGCATCACCCTCTTCAACATCTTTCCATAGACCTTCTTTGTGCCTGATAAACATTAATGTGTTCTAAACTCTACACCCCCAGTTTGCCATGCAGCCCTTCTGTTATTAAAAGTCTCAATGCTAATGACATCAATATGACTTCATCAGGGTTTATTTCTTCAACATGACAAAGCTTCTCCAGTTCCCCAATTAATATTATACGTTTTCACAGGCTAAGGTAATAGGTAAACTAAACTTTACATGTACAATTGATGGAATAACACTAATAAAACAGTCAGCATCCTTTTGAAAAGAATATTCAAGTAAAAAATACTTGGCGATTGTATTTCTACCCAAACTTGGGGCAAAGGTGAAACATATTTGATACAAATGTTTATCACTAAAAATATACCCAGGACTCTGATACCACATGGGATATAACACAGAAGAATGGAAGCAGATGCAAACAGAGATAGCTCAATTTCCATTCATGCAGATTGTTTACAAACCAGCATGAGACGAACCTTTAAACCATAAAGTGCTTCCTCCCCCGGCTTCTGCTGCACCACTGAAACTGCTCAGTGGATATGAACAGACTCTGGTTGTTCTGGGCAGTTCTGCAAAATATTACTGTCAAACTGTGAATGTCAAGGATGGCATTGCTGAAAATAGAAACCATCCTCTGTCAATATTACCCATGGTAAAAAAAACAGAGGAACTTCTATATATATCTCGACAACAAAACTGCCAGTCATTACTGCTACGTACGATTCACCATGAGTTTGCCTAATGCACGATTTACATTTTTGTATTACGTTCTGACCCTGAAGTTTGACAAAGAGTACAATTATGTGGTAATTGCGTAGGTTTTTTAATATCCCAAAAATATAGTTTTTTTAAGAAACAGTGGTAGACAATATAATTTAAACACAAACTAGTAGAAAATACCTTCAAATACTGCTTTACACAATTTCTATCAGGCTGCTAGTCAACTGATATTTACTGCATATGTTCTTCATATATTTGCGAGTTACTTTTAACTGATATATTTTGTTGCTTTTTGTTTGACATGGCAAAAAAACATGGTGCTTTGTGACTGATGCACCTGCAGCTTGTCTCTAGACTAGAGCTCAGTTCTGTTTCTTTTGTGGCTGTGATATTTTAAAGCATACAATGCTGCTTAATTGCAGCTAAATGCATTTGGTCCTAACACTGTTTTAACTTTAAGAATAACCAAGATCCAAAGAGGCCAATCTTATCAGGAAAATAAAGATGCATGAACCCACCCTCCTCCCTCATCCACCAACCTACACAGACACACATCATCATTTATTGCACACCAGTGCTACGTCCAAGTTGTGTTTCCGCAGTGGCTCAAAGGACTCAGATGGGTGTGACTAACAACAGTGCAAATTTTAACCAGATGGGAGGAGGCTGAATAAAACCAGCAGTCCCTGAGTCCTGTGTTTACAGGAGAGCCTGAACAGGAAACAAGTAGAGAAGAATCCTTTAAATCAGAGAACAGTTTTCATGCTATCTTTCTTTCATGTCCCTCTGTAGATTTGCCCCCTTTCCTTACACTCCTTCATTAACTGTTATCCATACAACAGCATTTTTGGCAGCATTATCTGAGAGATTAATTTTCTTTTCTAGATGTTTGATTTGGAAGAATTTGTAGACATAATAGTCACTAAGGTTATGTGACAATGATACTTACTGTATATCCCCAATGCTGACTATGTCCATTGAATGGTTTTAATTGACATCATTGTCTGACCCCTTGTGGCAGTAGACACTATTGCAGCTCCCCATACAGGCCTGCAGAAGGGAAGAAGGCTGCAATTGTGGCCCATTCAGTACCTGCCAATTTTCAATGAGGTCTGTACATTTTTTTGACTGATCCTCCTAAGGTATACAATTATACGGTTTTTTGCAACATTGATTTGGGATTGTTCTTTTTTAAACTTTCCATCTTCTGGATCCTTAACCCAGTCCTTTTAAAGTTAATAATGGCTCTGCAGTGTCTGTCTCTTCCCCTTGTCCCAGACAGTCCGGTGACTCAGATCTTGGCTGTTTGATGCTCCTGTCAGATTCAATATTTTTGGCACACATAGATGACGTAAATGTCTGAAGAATAAGCAAGTAATCATCCCTCACTGTGTGTGACTCATTCTTGCTCAAGCAGAAATGTGCTGTTTTGGATCTTTGAGATTAAAAAAATACAAACGTCTGAATTTGACAAGACAATAAAATGGTAATTATGAAAAAAAATGTTATGTCTGCAAAACAAAAAACCTTTCTGAAAATATTCTTCTATTACGTAGCTGTTTATATTATATATTACCATTTTAGAAATGTAGATGGAATGCCAGCATTAATTTGGAAATGACTTACTGAGGTGGTTATTTGTGTCTCTAATGTCACAGTGAGTCTAAATTGAATTCACCTTTTCTTCATTATTGTTCTTCTTATTGTTGTTTACACAATGCAGAGACTTTAAGTACCCCTTATGTAAGTGCATGTTCATTTTAATAGTTGGTGTACACAAAACAGAATACAAGCGTATTAAAAGTGGTTGATCTTCAATGAAGTGGTTTTTAAAAAAAAATGATATTGAAATATTTTAAACATAGAATATGGAAATAAGACATCATTCATGTAATTGTTGGTAGAGCAGACTTATATCATCTATAAATAGTCTCATCATGGCCGAGCTGATCAGTGCTCATTGGCTGCAGGTCACTGTCTTTAAAAGAAAAGAATCCCTGAGTGTGTGTAGTTCCTCACTCCTCTCTGCTCTCCTTCTATATGACGTCTTCCAGTGTGTGAGCAGCGCCCTCGATGGCCTGACTCAGGACGGACAGGTGGTAGTGCACTTTGTCCCAGGCGCTGGACTCCACCAATGACTCAGCTTTTGCGTAGGCATCGGCAAGACCGGGGAAGGTTGGCTTTCCGGCACTACTAGAGGCCCAGATAACATGCCTGCATGGGGTTATAAAGAGTGTTATAAAATACCAAAATCATAAAATGATATAGCAAAATTACAAAGAAGCAGGATATCACTGATGTTATCCCAACATGGCGTCCGCATATGAGTGTAAGGGGAAGTCCCAGAGAGGAACAAGGTCAAAATATATTTTAAAAGCAAAGAAACTGAGATCTGGGAACCCTTGAAAATGCAGTATGTGTAAAAAATTACTCAAGGCAGGCCATTTCAGAATGCTTACATTATATTTAGCTTATTAATTGAACAGATCTAACTAAATGTTGAGACATTTGACTCAAAACCACCAATGTAAACCTCATGGTGGTGCTAGAGGAAAAGAGAAAGGCTCAAGAAAAGGCCTGTACGCAATTTCATGTCAATCCCTATTAGAGTTTGGATATCTCAGAATAGGACTGCCCTCAAGCCACGCTGCTAGCTTTATTTCCCTGGGTAACACATCATCATCTCACCTGAATGCATATTTATCTGGGAAGGCCAGAGGGTCCAAGAAAGCTCGGTCCAGCAGCATGAGCTGGTCATTGATCCTTCTGACCTTCAGTGGTCTGAAGCAGAGAGACAGAGAGAGGGGGCTCATTTAGCAGAGGAGATAATAATATGACGATGTGACAATTATGACGTATGTTTGTGTTCTTACGTTTCATTTGCCAGGTCTGAAGAGCGAATCGCCTGGTCCAAATGAGTAGCTGCATTGCGGAAACTGGCCACTGCACGTTTAATTGGTTCTGAAACAAAACACAAATCAGCTATGAAGCCTCCGTGCGAAGCTTTCACCCTTCATACTCTTCTGTGAATAAGAGAAAGAGGCGCTGACTCCTGCTGTTGTAGTGTCTCCTGTTTTTTCATAAGGGCAACCTGAACACAGTTTTTTATATCTTCAGGTTCCTCAGAGCAGTTAAAAACACAAATACCAATGAGAAACATTGTCTATCTCAGGTCTTGCAGTTGAAGTAATCAAGTGATTATTGCAGCTGCCAAACTATAAAAACATCCACATTTGACACAGACTTGTCATGGTGAGATATGAATCCCAGATGAAATTATTTGACCCATATAATATTTATTGTAGCCCCTGTTACGGCAATATTCCCCAGCATCACTGAAATCTGTGCTCACCCATAGAGATACGCCTGTTTTGCAGCTGCTGCTCATAAAGAGTCACGGCTGTGTTCAGGTAGCCTTCCAGAGTCTCAGCGTAGTCACTGCAGTTTAATGGCAACACCAGGCTGTCAGCCAATCGGATCAGGACGTTTCCTGCTGTCCTGGCAATAGCCTGGTGACTGACGAACCCTGAGAGGGATGAGAGGATTTACACAAGAAATTGTTTGGACATCCTTTGAAGTTGTCACATTTAACAACAGAAGATGGAGACATGGCTGGGAAATGTAAGACTTTTTTGTTAAACGTGTATATATTTTTTTGAAACATTTACCACAGAATAAAGTATAATCTGCAGGACCATTATAGAAAAATGTGAATACATGAGATCTCATTGCTCACCGGGATCAATGAACTTTGAAGCGTAGTCAAAAGTGTCGTATGCTGTGTGATACGCAGGGTAAATCCGAGCATTTGTTTTACTCTGTAGAAAGAAAAATATCAACATGATATAAATTACATTGCTTGAGTTCAGTCTAATTCTGACTTCTTCTAAAACATTTGTGCACCAAAATAATTTATTTTCTTAAAAAAGTACACCAAGAAAGCAATGTCCAATACATTTAAGATTCAATCAATCAATCAATGTTTATTTATATAGCCCAATATCACAAATGTTACATTTGTCTCAGTGGACTTCACAGTTTGTACAGAATATCAGTATGACAATACGACACCCTCTGTCCTTAGACCCTCACATCGTACAAGGAAAAACTTCCGGAGAAAACCCACAGTTTAAAGGGAAAAATGGGAGAAACCTCAGGGAGAGCAACAGAGGAGGGATCCCTCTCCCAGGACGGACAGACGTGCAATAGATGCCGTGTGTAAATTGAAAAGATAATACATTTGCAACATAGGTTAAGATTGAGTTAGTAGGAAGAAGGGAAGACAGCCATATTACAGTAAGACGTATTCAGCAAGTCTTTCATACCCTGTCATATGTGTATGATATGTCCATGGAAGTGATTCCCAGGTAGTGGACAAAGGCAGCGTAATCACTCCCTGCTCCTGATAGGTAGCCCACCCTGTTTAAGGAAGGGAGTGCATGCAAGACTTGAGCTTTCTGTGAAAACACATAGTATCATTTAACACGTTTATCAAGTATATGATGCAAATCAACTCAAGGCACAGATAATAAACTAAACAGACTGTATGGAAAATATGCATTTTCAATTAACTGATTTGTTAAGGGTTTTTTCAAGGTGTGTTCACATTTATCAATCACTTTGATTCAGGATTTAAACAGTTTTCTAGCCAATCCTATTGTTTCAATTTGAACAAAAACCCATCCACCAGAGATTATGGATGAAGCTTCATGTCTAACAACAATGGATAAAAAACCTTGCATGTAGACAAGTCTTCTCCCAGAATACAATGCAAAATCCGGGAAAAGTAAAGAAACTCTCATTACTTGGGAATGAGTCCGTGGGTCGGGCTTGTCCTGTTGGCATATTGAATCCAGTTGTCGTACACAGACGTGGAGTCCAGCCCAGGGGCATCCACCTAGAGAGCAGACAGGCTTTCAGGTGTCACATTCCTGTCGGATTATTGACGAGGGTTTAGCCAAAGGTAAAATGCTGGAGAGAAAACGTACCTGTTTTGAAGCTTTAAAGATGACGTTCTGTAGCGATGGCATCCCAGAAGCCCTCAGAGTGGCGTTTGCTAAGGAATGGAAGATGAGTGCTTTAGATCAGTATCATTATTAACCTACGCATCAACAACCCACAACACCATTTAAAGTAGGAGATGTTTTTTATGCATTTAATATTATGTACCACCAAATAATTCATGTCTGTCAACTGGATGGTTTCTAGAACATTCCAAAAAACATCTAAAGGCGGAAAAATCAATAATCAACCTAGCAACATCTTTAATTTCCAATAATTTCGGCTGTCCAGGTTGACCAAGTGAGATTACTCCGAGAAAGGGTATCTGGTTTTGACAGGTAATGCAGCAAAAGCTTCTTACCAAAAACAGCTATATCCACGTTGATGTACGCAACGGTTCTTTCACTGAGCTTGGTGAAGTATTGCTGGGAAAAAAACAAGACCAAGGTCATATTTGTTACTGTTAGTCAGTTTACAAACAAACAAACAAACAAACAAACAAACAAATCAATGTTTTGACAAGTAATGTTGTAATCTACTCAGGAAATGACCAACATTTGCAACAATAAGCTAATGGTCAGTATCAGCAAAACTCCTAAATGTATTGAATTAAGCAACAGAGTGTGTGATTGCTTATGAATGCATGAAGAGTGGAGGAATAATTGCATTACCCACCTCTGTGTATTCTGCAGACCCAATAAGGCCAAACTCCTCCGCTCCCCAGCTTCCAAAAATAATGGACCTGCGAGGCCTCCATTTGCCTTTAACAGAGAAAAGCAGAGATTAACTCTTTATCAGGCACATTAAACACAAATAACTCATTCAGCTTCCACTGTCCTCACCCTGCTTGACCATCTTGCCCAGCACTCTGGTTAATTCCAGCATGACGGACGTCCCGCTGCTGGGGTCGATGGCACCGTGGACCCAGCTGTCCCTGTGGTTCCCATAGATCACATACCTGTCTGTGGACACACACACACAAACAGAGCAGAGTAAATCAAGCTGAATAAAGATGGTAGTGAATGGCTGATAATTATTGACTTGGGTCACCAGTCTCACCTGGCTCCACACTCCCTCTGATGACCCCCATCACATTGGAGGAGTTCTTCAACTCTTCATGGTTGAAGATGTCCAGTTTCACATCACTGGAGAAGAGGGTCAAAGTCAGAAGTATGGAGCGACAAGGAAAGGAGACAAATAGATGTCCCAGTATTAAACTGTTGATGAGTGCTTTTTGAAATGTTTGAAACACTTTTTGTATTTATACTGTTTTATTCCTAACCTATTTAGCTGATTTCATGATTTAGGTTGTCTTCACTCCCTCTGGCACATGTCCTTTGGCCTCATTTTCAGTTTATTCACCTTGTTTTTTTCCTACTTTGTTAAAAGCACTATTTTAAGTTAATTTGTATTTACAGTTAATACCTGTTGTTGAAAGCAGATGTCAGTTTGAACCCTGGACCGCCAAATTTGTAGGCACAGTTGAATGATCCCTGCCATAGAGCTGGAGCTGCTTCTCCGCCCAGCTCACTGAAATAACCAGAAAAACAAATGTAATGTATTATTTTGTGTTTTTCATCCATAGACTGCATATATATAAAAAGCCATTGCAAACCAGATTAGCTTGTAGGCATCCTCAAATCCGATTGGTTGAATAGGAATGGGAGGGACCCCTGTAATGTCCTTGGCAGGGATTCTGTAGGTTTCATCTAAAGAATAAGTTAAAACAAGTTAAACATTCAAATGAAAAGGATTTAAATGCCCTGGTTTTATCTTTATATCAGCTGTGTGTTGCAAAAGTCCTTCCTCAGATTGTATTGAAGCCAAAGTGCACAGTAGTAAACACACAATAAAAAGACAAGTCACAGGTTACCTTTGGCAGCCAGGTAGGGAGTGAGCAGGTCTCCATAGTGGGTGTTAAAGGAGCCTCTCTCCACACCGGACGGCGGCAGGTACCAGGAGTGAGGATACGTCTCATTGAGGTCTGACATGACACCATCATTGATGTCCAAAGGGTCTGTGTACACAAGAACCCCGATCACTCCGTAGGGTGCTCCATTAATGGCCTGGATGAGACACAAATGATATTTTAATTACATAAAAAACGGATTTATACTTTTTACAGGCGTTTACAACTGTATATAGGCAATGTAGTACATTAAAGTATCAAAACAGTAGTATAACTATTAGAGAGTACATGAGTCTTAGTTAGTTTACAAATAAAATCCAAATTGTCGGAGGACAAATGTTATATTAATATTATGTAAAATTAGTTTTCCCTCGCTAAAATAAGAAACTGTGGCTGTTGAGGAGAACGTTACTTAAAACCTGGGCGGAAAATCTTACATTGCATACTTTCATGATTTTAAACAAAGAATTTGTTGATATTTCATGTTGAGTTATACATAAATAATGCTGAATATTGATGACATGATTTTTTAACTATTTTTTCAAAATCTATGTTTTAGTTGATTAGTTCTGAAAGTGACATTTTTGTAATAAAGTCTGCACTTCTCCAATGAGGAAAGCTATTTTAATTAAATTGGTTGGACTGTAAATGTCCACAACCTCCACTATAATGATAACATGTCATTAAAAGATAACAAATACTGACTATATTGATTCATAAGAAGAATAACATTTCAGATGCACAGCAATTACGACTTACATTTTGGCAATTCAATTGTTAGATCCCAGGCTAAGTTGTAAATTGCAGTACACTTAAGACATTAAAAAGTACAATACAAATGTGACTCAATGCTTATAGCTTAACTATCACTTTTCCCAACACAGGGTTTGTCTCCTGTGGACAGGTTGTCTCCGCTTATCTCATGAAAGATAATGGAAACAAACACAAACAGTATAACAGGTCACTCAATTTGTCAGCTCTTCCTGCTCCGCCATATCTGGTGATCGCGATGGTTCCTCGAAGGTCAACCGTAGTGTTCAACAGGTGGTAGTCACTGGGTTTCCCCTGGTTGGCGTACACCAGTTTACCCTGAAAACATCAGAACAATAAAGAAAAAAGACAATAAAAAACACAGTGATGTGAATAGCCCATCTGTTAAGAGTATACGTACATATCTTATACATTTAAACGTATACATATATTAAGATATGTATTTATTCCTGTATGTTTGTATATCTAACAAAAGCCTTTATTTTATGCTTGTCGATGTCACCTGCCTGATTATGGCTTCTTCCTACCGGGAAGTTCGCAGATGGTAACAACACGTTTCTTTACTCTTAACAGATGGGCTTTTCTTGCTTTGTTAACTCACTCAACATCATACATTGTTACGGATTTAGTTACAGAGACAAATTATGTGAACTTATTCTTGTTAATAAGCCTTCTTTTGTTTTTGCTAATACATACATTACTTAAGGCGGGGAGATCATCATTTGGTGTAAAATTCCATTTACAGGGGAAATCACTTTCCTGACCTTAGGAAGGAAATATATGTGCAGCGCTTTAAACAAAAATTACTTTACACCACGCCCTAAGGCAGCATGGGGAACATATTGGGGACTGTTTGCCTCATCCTATTAATACATTCATTTTAGGAGGTTTCTGTTCGGGCATGAAAGCAATCAGTGGCGGCCGGTCCATAGGGGCGCTAGGGGCGCCGCCCCCCTCTTCCCACATGTTTGATTGTCATTAAAAATTCATAAAAAAATATATTTCCAAAAAATATATTTTTTTTATTTTTATTTTTAAAGAAAAAGGTAAATATTATATAGTTGGTATCAGTCAAATGTATAATCTACAATAAAATCATGTTTAAAATTGTTTTACGATGTCTAANGTACCGTTAAAAGACCGGACCGATAAGCGGTATCGATAAAAGTAGTAGTACCGTTAAAACCTTAACGATACCCATCCCTACTCACCGCAGAGACATGTCACTCAAGGTGGCCATGCCCTAATTTATGAAAAAAAACTTTAAGACCTAATATAAATAAAAGGGTTGCGTTATAAAACAATTCACTCACCAATTCATAATCATGAAGGTGGAATATAACTATCCATCCATCCATCCATCCATCCATCTTCTCCCGCTTATCCGTGGTCGGGTCGCGAAGGTAGCAGTTCCAGCAGAGAGCCCCAAACTTTCTTTTCCCTGGCCACATCAACCAGCTCTGACTGGGGGATCCCAAGGCGCTCCCAGGCCAGCGAAGAGATATAATCCCTCCACCTGGTCCTAGGTCTACCCCTTGGTCTCTTCCCAGCTGGACGTGCCTGGAACACCTCCCTAGGGAGGCGCCCAGGTGGCATCCTAACTAGGTGCCCGAACCACCTCAACTGGCTCCTTTCGACGCGAAGGAGGAGCGGTTCAACTCCGAGTCCCTCCCGGATGACCGAACTTCTCACCTTATCCCTAAGGGAGACACCAGCCACCCTGCGGAGAAAACCCATCTCGGCCGCTTGTACCCGCGATCTCGTTCTTTCGGTCATGACCCATCCTTCATGACCATAGGTGAGGGTAGGAACGAAAATGGCGCGGTAGACAGAGAGCTTTGCCTTCTGGCTCAGCTCCCTTTTCGTCACACGGGGCGGTAAAGTGACTGCAGTACCGCTCCCGCTGCTCCGATTCTCCGACCCATCTCACGCTCCATTGTTCCCTCACTCGAGAACAAGACCCCGAGATACTTGAACTCCTTCACTTGGGGTAAGGACTCATTCCCTACTTGGATCCATCGGCATCAGGACAGGAAAAGAGACCTCTTCTCCTCCAGCTTCTCCTCTTTAAGTCGTCCCCAGCTGAATGTAATTAGGACACCTGGGGGAGGCGGAGCCAGTGGCGGACCAGGTGTACCTGCGCAGCAGAGAGACAGAGAAAAACACATAGAGCACGTAACAGTTTGTAAAGTCAGTAAAGTCTGCCGGGAGGTACAGCAGGAAAATGTCAGGCTAGGCTGCTCTCAGACTTTATATAATTTTACGTGAAAAGTAATACAACTTAGTATATACCAAATACACATTTATTGTACACATAATTGTGACCCAGGGTAGATAGTATAAAGGGCGACAAAATCGGTGTCAGGAGAAGGTTTTGGTGGATGGGTTGGTCCAAAAACCAAGGACACCGCTACTTAGTGTCCTGTTTAAAGAAGTACATTTTATGAATTGTTTACATCACTTAAGTATGTTTTGTTGCAGGAACAGTTATGTACTGATTTATGGAATTGCCGGACATTCTTAGGAGAAGGCAAAGATAGAATATGAGGATACATTGAAAAGGTATCATTGTGTTTAATGGAACTTAGTTATCGTAATTTCTTATGAACAAATTAAATCGCATGTTGACAAGTGAGGATAACATGTGGCCTTTCTGGAGAGGCTAATCCAGTGTCTGGGTGTTGAAACATCTTCCCCTAATATAACATCATCCGCCCAGCCCCCCTCCCCAGGGGATCACAAGCATCCAGCTTTGGTTCAAACACAGAAGCACAACACATAGATCAGAAATCACTCTTAAACCCATAGGAACAGACGTGTTGCAAATCTTTAAAGAAATGGCTATTCATTTATTAAAAAGGGTCATGTTTTTGATCAGAACAATTGAATTACTGAGAGTTTACCATCGTCAACATGTGGAGATGTTTTGTGGGTGGCAAATGTTCATTTCAGCGCAGAGTGTATAATTAACTTCCATCAGCCCATAACTGACGTGCAGACGTGTGTTTCAGGAAGGGATGGAAATCAAATTGCATTCATGTGCCTTTTAATGGATTTTATTTTATTCTGACATGACAGCTGTGATATTCAGAGTCACTCACACCTCCGCCAGGGACTATTTTTATCGAAGACAGATTATTCCAAAATATGATCTCCTTCTGTTCCCTTTAATTAAGGCAGTGTGCAGAACTCTTGATATTTACATTCTGTAATTACTCTCTATATTTCCACATGCCACCTGTGTGACCTATGCAGCCACCTGCACATGGAGTGGGAGTGTGTGTGTGTGTGTGTGTGTGTGTGTGTGTGTGTGTGTGTGTGTGTGTGTGTGTGTGTGTGTGTGTGTGTGTGTGTGTGTCAGCTGGATGTTTTCACCAGCTCGCTCTGCTAGTCTCCGTGTTTCACTTCAGACCAGCAGAGTGAACTGTTGGCTGTAGGCCAGATGGAAAACAAGCACAAACATTTTTGGACTTTTACACTTGTAAAGACTTACACTGGGGTAATTTGATTTCCTTACAGGGGTCACCATTAACCTTCTAGTTAACCTAAACCTTTGTTCGTCTTACACTAACCCCTAAAACCAGACACTACTCTGCCCATGCCCAGTACAGTCTACCTGCAGATCACTTCACGTTGGAATACTAAATCAGCCTGCACACAAGCAGAGGTGGGAAGTAGTGGAGTACAAATACTTTGTTACTGTACTTAAGCACATGTTTCTGGTATCAGTACTTATTTTTACAACAACTTTTTACTTTTACTTCTTACATGTTGAACACAAATACCTGTACTTTCGTGTCACGCTATCATAGCTCCATCAGCACCATGATAGTGTTTCTCTGTGACAGGCTTCCATTGAAAGTACAAACTTGGCTTTTAGACCAATAAAAGCATCTTGAGGTTTTTGTTTTTCTCTTAATACACAAACGTCTATCTAAAAGCTGGCTGATTAAAAATAGGGTTCACTCTTACAGAGTTTGAACAAAACAAGCATTTTCACTTTAAGTTGCTTTTTGTTGTATAAGCAACTATTAAAGGTTTAGAGCCAGTAATAAAATACCTGGTTTCTTACATGCTTGGCGTCTAAGAATCCAAATGTGTAACTGATGTGGGGAGCAAAACAACAATTCAAAAGATTTAACTTTTTCACACCAGAATCATAAATTATTCTTTATGTTTACATGTGATGTTTTCAAATAAAATAAAATCAAGTTTTATTTATAAAACACATTTAAAAGCGATTTTTGGTGGAGCCAAAGTGCTGTACATGTAATAAAAACACATTACTACAATCACAATAAAAGACAATAAATTACAACAGAAATATAAAAAACACAGGGAATAGTCAGGTCTCGTACTCCGCTCTGATTAGAAGGCCAGGGAGAAGAAGTGAGTCTTAAGAGTAGATTTAAAAACCCCTAGGGTCTGGGCCGACCTCACATGGAGGGGCAGAGTGTTCCAGAGCCCGGGGCCAGCTGCTGCGAAGGCTCGGTGCCCTCGGGTTTTGAGCCTGGTCTTGGCCTTGTTGTATTTCACACATTAATTAATTGTGTTGATGTATTAGACATTAAAACCGGGGTAACATTTAAATGTGTGTGCTTATTTGTAAGCTTTGATAAACACTATCCTTTGAGACCAAAAACAAAATCTTCCGGACTTAATCGAAACCTTTTAGGAACTTTATTTATCCTTCAAGCTCAGCATGTTGGCTTTATTGCTCAGTCCAACTAACAAAAGCAAATATAAGCATTACAATATTTGGTGCATACATTTGGAGCAGATTACATCATTCGTGCAGTGTGAAATAAAACAAACATGATTCCTGTTGGTAAAGGGATTCTGGATGCTTGCCCTCTTTGTCTTACTTTAATTTTCTGAATTAGAAACACACAGACACACACACACACACACACACACACACACACACACACACACACACACACACACACACACACACACACACACATACCATATATACATCACTTCAGGGGACATTACATTGATTTACATGCATGTGTGTGTGTGTGTGTGTGTGTGTGTGTGTGTGTGTGTGTGTGTGTGTGTGTGTGTGTGTGTGTGTGTGTGTGTGTGTGTAGCACAACACCTGCTGAGAGAGTTGAATCTCATTACTTTCAATTACATCACCGAGGAGTGCAATACTTGGCTGTTTAATATGTAGAGTTTCTAATCCCCCTGTGGAGAGGAGATATCATGCACTGCACACTCAGACACACACACACACACACACACACACACACACACACACACACACACACACACACACACACACACACACACACACACAATGCCCCTGCTGAGGAACATAAACACTATTAAAGTCAATGGAGGGAAGAGAATTGAGCTGATTTGATTGCTGTTGTTTATATTCCACCTCAGAGAGCGGAACAATTAAAACTCGCTCTGCTGTCGTCGGTTCCCACGTCAACATCAGAGCATCCTCCGTTAGAGACTGGGACGCTTTAGTCTAACCCTATTTTCTATTAGAGTTTACACACTTCACTGGGAAATTACAGTGGTCCCGCTTATCCTTAAAAAGAGGCATTAAGGTAATTAATCTAAATTAGAACCTTGAATTTCAAACGTCTTGAAATGAAGAAATACTTCAATTATTTTTAAAACAACGTGACATGGGATCACTTTATGAATTTGTCTGGTATTTAATTTAGTAAATGCTTCTCACACTACTGCCCAACTGATCTGGATAGCTTACAAATTGCAAAGGAAATGGTATTGATTTACATTTCAAGTGGCATTTCTTCAAAAAACTCTCAACAATTATTTAATCTTCCTTGCCCTTAAGTCAAAGGAACCAGAGTACATTGTAAAAATCACTATTAAACACTGATCAGTTGACCAATCACAACAGAGCCGGCCAGCTTACCAATAATATCAGATGCTTCATGCAACAA